CCACCATCCTACCGAGTACTCTGCCGTATACAACTTTGATGCTCTGTGGATTTCGTACCCAGAAAAAGAAAAAGAAAAACGAACTCTTTAATGGCTTATGATTGGTCAACAATTGCTGCGTCAGGCTGTCATGAACAACAATTCTTGTCATTTATAGTATTATCATCAGCCACCAAAGCAAACTTTTTTGCCTTTCCGATAGGATGATGCCATCCCTTTCGACACAAAAAAACATTTGGCATTTGTTTATTCTCTATTTCTTTGTTTGTAAATCAGAATATTCTTGTACGAGCGACATCGAGCCATGATATTGCAGGCTTTTTTGTTCAGGGATATCATTAACTAATTGTTATCTGAAAGAAACAGTTTAATATTGTATAGAAATCTACGCATGTCATCATATATCGAACGTTCTCTGAAAATCATGCAGTGCAGGCTCTTCAAGAATCTTTATAAAGACCACGCCTCTCAGTTTATTCCACTTGTCTCGATATATCTATATATCATTGTATCGTTCTCTAAAGGTTAATCAAAACCATGGTGAGTAGTGGGTGCAATAGATCTCTCTCTCTTAGGGCAAAGGCCATCTTCCTTTTGTTCCTGATCCTTGTTGCCAGAGCTACTCTTGTAGTTGCAGCTAGGCCATCTAATACCATGACCAAGAAGCCAAGATTTAGAGCGAGCAGCACCCATTTTCCAAATTCTAACCGTGCAGTTCAACCATCGGGTCCTAATCCCTGCAGCTACATACCTGGAAAAGGCGAATGCAAACCTCCCAAGTGATGCTTCAGTATTGTCCATCTCCGTCAAGCATGTAGTTATATACATGGTCTGTTTTAAATTAAAGATTTAGCTCTTATTTATATATCAATGGATGTTTTCTGGGTTTTTTATATATATTTTTCTTCTGTCTGGTCTTTTAAATTAAAAATCTAGCTCTTTATTTATATATAAATTTCAGTGATAGTGTAATGATGGAAGTGGGAAGAAGACACTTAGAGAGAATCTGCAAGGAGAGATGGTCCGATGAATGCTTTATCTGTATGCAAATTAATGATATTTAATAATAATTTATTTCCCAAATTTGTTGTATCCGAGAATGTAAGTTAATTTTATATAGTTGTTAACAATGCTAGCTTGAATTAATGTCCTGTCAGCATTTTAATAGATTAAACCACGTTGCTGGCAATAGAAATTTTGACATTTTACATTCAATATTTTAGAATAAAATAAATATATTTCTGTAATAAATGAATTTATGTTTTTTTTATAAAAAAATATGGACATGTCCCACTAGTCTTTGCTATCTCCATTCTCTTCATCATTAAATATTGCAATATCAATATACATGATTATTTAATTAATGTTGTGTACTTTGTAAGAAGGATCATGTTAAGATTGAGGTTATACATGGCAGATCCTATTAATTAATGGCCATTCTCTTCTTCTTTGTTGCTTTTCTGTATTATATTTTAGATTTTTTGGATTCAAACGTACATGTACACTAATTTTTTTTTTGTTATTATGGTATAAAATATTTTTACCTAAAAATATATTAAAATATTTTTTTATTTTTAGCATTAACACATTAATTAAAATAATTAAGAAATACTAGAAAAACATTAATTTAAAAATTTCTCAAATAAAATACATTTTTAAAATACATACGGACATAATTACAAACACAAAAAACAAATTTTCTTTAATCAAATCTAATTTCTAGAACACAATGGTTCTGATGAATTTACATTGAAAAACTGTTTTTTTATTGACTTTAATAGTTTCAGGTAAATAAATGGAAGAATTTTTCTCTCGACACGACGGCGTGTTTATGTCTTATACGCTTATTTTTAATCAATATTTAATAAATCATGATAGTTAGAAGCGTTGATAAAAAAAAACTATTTCAATAATTTTCATGAAAATCTTTACTTTAAAATTAACTTTCGTTATTTTATTCTACTTTTTTGGTTCCACTTATCCACGGGTTCTACCAAAAATAAAAAGCCTCTCTCTCTCTCTCTCAACTTGGCAGGGCAAGCTCAATAAACCATGGGGAAGGCTCGTCGAAGGTCCGGGGCATCACCTAGCTCAAATGAAGAAGGGTAGAGTAGTGATGAAAAGATGCGTCGATCGATTACTATGTATAATTATAATGCCAAATGATTACAGACTTTTCAAATACATTTTTTTTAAAATATATTAATTTTTTTATAAGTATTAAAAAAATATTAATTTAATTTTTTTTTGAATAAAATAAACTTTTAAAACATACACAGATATGGATACAATTACAAAAACAAAAACAAATTTTCTTTTATCAAATCTGATTTCTAGAACACTGATGATCTTGAAAAAATGAATATAGATATGGTGTATGGGTTTGTTATTTCAGCATTTATTAAAGGGGTAATGGTGATAGAATATATTTTTAATTGAGGGCAACCTATGGTCACCCAAAAAGGCGTTTAGATCCTCTGGTTCTAAACCAATCCCTTATAGGATCACTTATATTTACAAATCTTGATCCAGATCATTTGAGAGATGAGAGTCGATTAGGTCTCAGGCCACACCGGATTAATTATTGCGTATTATCCACTATATATGTAACCTCGTTAATTATTGAATCAACCCATAAATCCTATTAATTTATATAACTACATATAATTTGAGTAGATATGCCTACAAATTAACAGTTTTAATACGAAAGCAAGTTATACTACATAGTAATCAAACATTATCTTATAATATATTCTAAAACTAATTTGATAATACTCACCATAAAACCACGTAAAACTAGGAAATTAACTGATTAGTAAGGGTTGACATTACAATATTTAACAGTTTTATTAACAGAATTTTTTTGTCGATATCAGACATATATTCCATCAGAAATTAATTTAGTAATGAAATCACTGACAAAAATACTCTGTTGGTGAATCTTTTGTTGATAATTTTTTATTCGTTGATAAATTTATTGGTAATAAAAAAAAATATTATTACCAACAGATTTACTAACAAAACAAACACTTAAAAAAATACCCGCTTCATTCCGTCGGTATATCATTCGAAAAATACTATCGGTAATTCCTTCAGTAATTATTTAAAAATATTTTAAAGAATCTATTTTATAAAATTATAAAATAATTAAATAACATAAATCAACACTCTATGGTATATACTCAAAATGCTTAGAAAAAAGAATAAGAAAATCAACTCAAACAAATTTGCAACAAATAAATAAAATAAAAAAATAAATTCAACTAAAAAAATTCATATGAAAAAAATGAGGTTGCAATTGCTAAAAATTTTAAAATCCTATAAATAAATCATCTAAAAATTGATCTCACATGAAAAAAAAAATCTCACAACAACATTTATATAATTATTAAGAACAAAAATAATTAAAAATAAAATAAAAAACAAATATAGTGAAAACAATCATGAAAAAAAATTTACGTTAATGTAGTTGCAAGTAAAGCTAAGGAGAGAGAGAAAAAAATCATAAAACATATTTATTAGAAAAACAACTAAGAGGATAAAAGAAGAAAGAAGAAGAAGACATGCCCGAGCATGGACAAAAAGAGGAGGAGAGAAGAGAAGAGAAAGAAATAGATATTGATGTTTTTTACATATAGTGAAGAAGAAGAATAATAAGCAATGAGTCTGCCTCTTGTGAAATAAAGGAATTCAGGCTTTTTATTGGGCTTGTTAGCAATGGTTTTACTGAAGAATAATTAAATACTAATATTTTTTTAATTATTCTGTCGGTAACTCCGTCTGTAATATTTAATTTAAATTTTTAATTTCATAAAAACATTTCAAAAACCACCACCAATCACCAATGATTTTTTAATCCATCAGTGATTTTGTCTGTAATATTTAAATAAAAATTTTAAATTAATTGAAATTTTTTCAGAAAACCATCAAATAACACCGATAACTTTTCAATCCGTCGATGATTTTGTCTGTAAAAATCAACAATTAACAATGTAATTAGAAAGTGAATAGTTCTTAAGCTCTTTAAAAACTATCGACGGCAAATTCCGTTAGTGATTCCCTTTGTAAATGACATTATGAACAGTGTTTACAGTTTACCATTGAATTTATTGATGAAATTTATTCTGTCGGTAATTATGTTGGTAAAAATAACATGTCATTATTTGCTTTGTTTTAATTTGTTTTTTTCATCGTAATTCTCTCGGTATTTTTGTTTGTATTTATCAATTTTTTGGTAGTGTAGTGTGTTTTGAGTAAAATATTTTACAAAAAAAAATATATTTTTTAATTTTTCTATATTTGTTTTCATAAAATATTTTCATATATTATTTTTCATAAAATATTTTATATAAAATTGATCAATGATAAGTATTTTACAATCAATCTTCAAGTTTAATTCATTTGTTTGAAAAATATTTTTTATCTTATAAAGTTTTATGAAATATTCTACAAATAATAATTCACTTAAAATATCATCCAATTATTTCATTCGTCTCCTCCCCTTCCATGTCTTCTTTCACCATCACCACAATCATCTTACAACCATCTCCTCCATCAACATTATCATCTCATCGTTATTGTCATCTCATCGTTAACTTTTGTATCATCTCACAATCATAATCTCTTTTATTATTATAATTAAAAAATATTTTATGAGAAAACATTTTTCAAGTTAAATATTTAAAAGTATATGAAATAATATTTTGTAAGAAAATGTTTTTCAAGTCAAATATTATAAAACATTTTTCGCAACCTAAATATTGCAATATCAATTCCAATGGCTTGGGTGCTTGCTACTTATTTTGGTACTCTTGCACGCTTGCTTTCATCCATGGCTTCGAGCTTGATCTTAAGCGGTGAGTGGGCCAATTCCATTGAGCCCAATATCTAGAGTTTGGGTACCCAACTTAATATAACAGCCCAAAACATTAAAGGCCGAAAAATTAAAAACTTCACATCCGGGCAACCCATAATCGCCAAGAAACCCATGTATAGAAGCCCTTATATCGACACTCTAGGGTAAGGGTTTTTCATCAGTAACCAGACCCCGTAGCAGCAGAAGCCGATCAGAAGCAAGCGCAAATGGTAACCCTCGTTATGTCTAGATTCATCCTTTCCTGATGGGTTTTAAATTTGAAGCTCAAATTTTGATTTTTGATGTATGTTGGTATTTGTAGCCGTCACACAAGACATTTAGGATCAAGAAGAAACTAGCAAAGAAGATGAGGCAAAACAGGCCTATCCCTCATTGGATTCGGATGAGAACCGATAACACTATCAGGTCTTTTTCTTGTTTAAGTTTTGTTGCTTGCCTTATAGAAAAGAAAAAAAAGTTTTAAAGCTATTGAATGTGGGTTTTTTTGGTTTTTTAGGTACAACGCCAAGCGCAGGCACTGGAGAAGAACCAAGCTTGGATTCTAAGGTGTTTTGGGTGTTTGGAATATTGGGATTTGTTAATTTAATTGGGTTTTAATTCGTTGAAGATTTGATTAAGAAGAGAATAGGACTTGATGTTGTTTTCTACGGAACTCATGGGTGTCCCAGTTGATAAATCTTGCTATGTTTGAAGTATTGATTTGCTTAAGTAATTTTCAATTTTGATGAAACTTGCAAGTTTTCGAATGTTTGTGTTCTTTTATCGGCTGGGAATGCTGAATTTATTTTGTTTGTTGGTAAGAGAAATCCATTCTTTTTTATTGTACTTTTGAATGTGTTTCGCTTACTGTTTTATTATGTTTCAGGTGTTATTAGGGTGCAATATCCTTGCTGTTTCTCAGATTTATTAGCTCAGGTAATGGAAGTTAAGTGCCTCTAGTTTTCTTCCAAATACCAAATATTGACCAAGCTAGGTTTAGTGGATCGACTTGTTTAATTGCTTGATGCATTACATTAGTTAGTCCAATAGCTGTCCTTAGGTTGATTTGCAATCGATGGTTCAGTTGTGATTCAACTTTACATGTTCAAAGGAGGTTCTGTGTTTTTCTGTATAATGTTTACATGCCTTATTTTCAGCTTGATTATCTTTTCTAGAATCGTAGTCTTCTTTTCATTTGATTTTTGAACAAAATTTCTTGTCCGTGGTTATATTTTCTGCTTCTGACCATAGCTTGTGGTCTAGTTTCTAAATGCAGTCTGCCTTGTCATGGAGTCTTGAAGACAGTTCAAATCTTCCATAGCTTGTATTTTCATGATCATGAATTTAATTTTCTAATTGTAATTTGGCGATTGCTTATGGTGCTTGGTTTTTTACCTGTTAATAAACGTGTTGCCAATCTCCAAATTCAGTGGGTTATTTCATCTAATCATGTACTCTTAGATGGCATAAGCCGTCTGACCTTGCATGGCCAGGTACCATTTAATGATCTGGTGGTCATTTGTACTGCAATTTGATGCAGTTTTCTGAAGATTCATTCGTACATTCATCGTTCGTTATTCCTTGGCATCGAAATCCACACCAGGGGAATCTGATTTGCAGAGGATATCTCTGAGTCCTTCCTGGCCCTGATGAGCTATTATAATCTCTCTTTTTTCCCTTGTGCTGGTAAAATGGTGTCTTCTAATTAGTTAATAGTAAAAAGGGTAAAACTACCGAGTTGCCTGTGGCTTTATGAAGGATAGCTTATGATGGGACACATTAATAAAAGAAAGTGTTCAAAAAGAATGCCAAAAGCCACTGTCTCTAGCCACTTGATTCCTTTATTCTCAGTGAGTTAAAAAGGCAAGCCTATCCATCGTTGACCTATAAGATCTTCAATCAAAATTTGGTCACATCTCCATAGGTGCTTAGGAAAATCTGTCAGGTCAGATCGAAGCATTTTGGGGAAAGAATTATCCATGGCATCATGGGTGGGTGTGTTCTCTTACTGGGACGAGAAGTAAGATTCTCTGTACTCATTGAAGACTTTGAGTTTTGGAGCATGCAAATTGACCAAGAAAAAATTATTGCTTTAAAAAACTAAGAAGCGCAAAATAACTTGAACACTAAACACGAGTGAGTTAATTTAAGAAACTCATAACTTTGTGTGTGATGGGTATAAATTTTATATATATATTTTAAAATTTTATCTAATCGTTTAAATTTTTAAATAAAATAATTTTTTAATAAGATATAAGAGTTTTATTTACCAAACAATTATAATTTTAAATTTCACTAATTATATTTTTTTGGATATGTACAAGTTTTAAATCCAAAAAAAATTTACTTAAAACTTGCAGCTTAAATCGTTAGAAGGTCAAGTTAAGATGGCAAGAGTTACCATTTTTACTTAAAACTTGCAGCATAAATCATTAAAAGCATAAATCATTAAAAGGTCAAGTTAAGATGGCAAGAGTTACCATCTCTTTTTCTAATTTATTAATTTTCCTTTTACTTTTAATGATTTTTTATTAATCTAAGACTTCATTAGTATAACATTTATTTTTTAAAAGTGATTAAAATTAAATATTATAAAAATTTAAATTCCTAATTTTTTTTAATAATCTTAATATATATACAAAAACTCAATTTAAAGATATGAATAGAGAACACACCTTGAATTAATAAAACAAAACGAAAGACAAAAATTTTGACCTTAAAGCGAACCTCTTTGATCTCTCTCTCTCAATGTTATGTAGGTTGTGATTGTTTTGACAAAAATAAAGTACAAGTTACTTTTATTTTATTTTTATTCTCTAAATTATAATGTAATTAATAATATATCCACTAGTACTTATAACTCCATTAATTAATAAAAAGAATATAATAGAAAATCTGGTTAATTATATATTTTATTTATTTATTTTTTAAAATGTAAAAAATCTAATTTTCCTTTAAAAAATCTGGTTATAAAAATTTTGATTTTTTTTAATAATTTTATTTTAAATTAACTTAGATTAACCTACTAATTTAGTTTTTTTCATATTATTCTCCAAACAAGTTAAGGGAGAAAGGAGCCACATATCTATATAATCAGTATCCAATTATTTATAACTGAATGGATTCACATTTCATATCATATCAGGATCCACTTTTATATTTTAAAAAACTTGTCTATTGATCTATTAAAAATAGCATTCTGAAGTAAGTACGTGTTCGCCTCATAAACTAACGCATCCTAAATTAATTAGCTCCCCATCAGCCTCAAGAGCAGTAAGATTAACCACAACCAATCCATAATTGATGTATTAATATTTCATTTAGGTTGCATGTATCAGCAGTAAATTCATTTCTCCTATTTTATTAAAAACAACTTTTGGAGAGATTAAGACTCATGCAGCCTAATAAAAAAAGCTTGCTGACGTCGTGAAATTTTTTTTTCAAAATTCAAGTACACATAATTTTTACCAAGTTCCCAAGCACAACTACTCACTTCACTTCACTGGCTGGCACTTCTATATTATTCCAGGCACCAACCAACTGTACAAGTTTCGGTCCCACAAACCAGATGTCCTCATTTGACTATTTATGTAATTTCACCGCACAATGGGGTATATCAGTAAATACCTGTTTTTTTCCCTTTAAGTGACAATACAAAATTCCTTGGCAGAATTGGAAATTACCAATCCAAATGAGCTGGTGTCCAACCCAACCCTGTAGGTTTGGTCCAAGCAAACTTGCTCTGAGTATAAGTAAAATTGCTATTTTTCTTTTCTATTTAAAAAAAAATTAAGTTGCTGCGTCAACCAACAAATGTAATAATAGCTGGAAACATTAATTAATATGTTTGTAGCATTTTAATAGGTTTCGTTCCCACAAATCAGATGTCCTCATTTGACTATTTATGTAATTTCACTGCACAATTGGGTATATCAATAAATACGTGTTTTTTTCCGCCTTAAAGTGAGAACACAAAATTCCTTGGCAGAATTGGAAATCCATGTATAAAAACCCTTGCTCTCTCTCTCGATGTATTTCATAGCCTTCTCTGAAAGTTATAATCAAAACCATGATGAGTATCTTCATGAGACCTCTCTTTCGTATACTTTTGTTGCTGATCCTTGCTGCCGGTGTTACTCTTGTGATTGCAACCAAGCAACCAAAATTCCGAGCAAGCAGCATGTACTCTCCACAAAGTAACCGTCCCGTTCAGCCATCAGGACCTAATCCCTGCAGTTACCTGCCTGGATCAGGCCAATGCAAACCTCCTAAGTGATGCATGTTTCATGTATATTGTCCACGGTATGTTTTTTTATAAGGGAAAAAAGACATTTTCTTTCTTACTTTTTGATAATTCTTTTCTTTCAAATCCTGTGATTTGTAGTTAAATCATGTTAAATGGTTATGTTTTTACCACATAGAAATACTCTCCCTTCCTTATTGCACCTCTTATTAATGTAAACTATATCTGAGTTTTGATTTATATTTTTTTTTTAAATTCTGATGATCTTGTGATCTCTCTGGATTTAGACTGACCATGTTTGTTCTCTTTAGTTTACATACAAATTTCAGGGATCATGTTGATGATGGAAGTGGACATAAAGAGTTTGGCAAGGAGAGCTGATGTAATGAATCCTTTAATTTGTATGCAAATTAATGATCATTAATAAATATTTCTTTTCCTAACTGGTGTTGGTTTGTTGATTTTGGATGTTATCGATGCAAGTACCATGTTGTTTAAAATTAATGAAGCTTAAATAGATTTTATCACACCAGCTTAATGATAGCATCATGAATAATTATAACAATGATAAGACGCCAGGCTTCTGACAGTTAAAGATACGCAATGATTTTGTTTCTGGTGAACCCTTCCCACGTATTTGAATAGATTCACGAATCTAGCGAATAGCATGTGTGTGTGTTCTTTTCTCTTCGTTTTCATAAAGCGCAGCTGGTTTTGGACTTTGTGCGAGACACCCCATCTTACTTTCTTAATTTATCACAGTTATAGTAAAAGAAAAAATCTATTAAAACTCTCTTATTAGATCAATTTGATTTTATATTAATTGATATAAAAACAAGATTCATTTAAGTATCATACCATTCTTGATAAAAGACAACAAATATACCACCATACAAGGGAAATCCAAAAACACATGATCACGTACATCCCTTTCTTGATTAATAACAGTACTCCAGATATCGCAATAAATAAACATATATTTCCATTTTAAGCCCTTGAATAATCTTATTAAAACTTGTCCTCCTAATTTTTCAGTGGGGGTATTAATTTCAACTTTATCGTATCTTTAAAAATAATCTTGATGATTTTATACCCTTAAGGTTGATGCAAACAACATGACCTCTAACAATTCAAATATTTTATCACAATAATGTATAAAAATCAATAACATATTATAAATTATTTCAAAATAACAATTCAATATGTTCGGGGTTCGAAAACAACTTTCAGGAGTTGCTGGAGTTGACCGAAGGTTGTCGCCACATCACCTCTCTTTTATATACAAGACACTCTTCCACTCAAGCGAAAGAAGAAAATTAATAATGGTTAGGATAAATTACAATTAGCTTGCCAAAGTTACGTTATTTTTAATGGGAAAAAAAAAGTTCTTCAATGAGTTAAGAACAAAATCTGGTTTGATTGTGGCCACCCACCAATTCAATGGACCATAGGCCATGTAATTCTTCATGTTTTAACTCTGAAGCTTTTTGTATGTATATAAAATTAATATCAATATTCTATTCAGAGATGATAGGCATAATAATCAGAGAGAAATTAAAGAGAAAACACATCTCCCAAGAATGACAAAGTTGTGGGGTAACGCGAGGATGATGAGAGACAAAACTAGGATATAGTAGTTGTCAGACTCGATTTGTAATCGAAGTCATCGATTCAAATCTATATTTTTATTTAAAATAATATTACTTTTTTTTTCTTGATTTTAATTTGATTAGGTTTAAATTAAATTTAAGCAAATTAACTGGATTGTATGTGAATCTCTAGATTATTTGAATTTGGCTAGGTCAACTCGTGCATCTTTTTTCTAGATTCATTCACGGCTTTCATGTCAAAAAAATAAGTTGAAATAAAACACGATAAGTGGATATTCAATCCATCAAACAAACAAGAAAGGGCTTAATAAATATGAAAACTAGGATAAAAAACTGGTGGCAAATTTTTTTTAAAAAAATATAGAGGGCTCAGGTCCAGAAAAGAAACGGAGCAAATTTAAAATGGATTTTATAAAGAAAGCTTAAGAGGAAAATTGGCCCCAAAACAAATAAAATTATATAGTTTCAGTATATTAGAAAGATTAGAGTTCTGATTGCAGTGACTAGCAAAAAATATCCTCTTTTCACAATATCTAAGTTATGGGTTGCCAAAAGAAGCAGGAGTCAATTATTATATCGATCCTGACTGCTGTACATAATTTTTATGATGAATTATATATTTATATAAAGATCTCTCTGTCTTTTCTGTCATGCTGCACTTTTCAAAAATTTAATTTTTTTATTGTTTAAAATTAAAAAAATAGTATTTTATTAAAAAAATATTTTAATATATTTTAAAGTGTATATCATTTTAAAAAACAATCATAATCACAATAAAAAAATAATATTTTATTAAATAAATATTTTAATATATTTTTAAATATAAAATATTCTAAAAAATAACCACAATCACAATACCATACACTGCACTACCCCAATAAAAAAGCTCATCTAATATATTTAAGAATTTTCTCAGCAAGGCAGCAACAAAATGAAGTATGAAGACTGAATAATCTCTTCTTTTACTTTCTTTAACTTTTATCCGACGATGATGGGCTAAGCCCCTGAAGCTAGGAAAATTAATTCAATATTGGAAATGTTAATTAAGGTCAATAAGAGGGGGATCATAAACAAGTATTCGTCTGAATTGAATAAATGATGGTTATCTATATATGTTGTTGATCCCAACTTGTAGGGAGTAATGGATTCAATTGGTGGTTTAAGAATGATATATGTGTATGGATTCAATGTTATCTATGAATTTATTTCAATGCTTCTTCGTTTTTATAATCTTTAAACTCTATAGAGAAGGATTATGGATGTTAATTGTGCTTATCAAGATATATGTGTTGTCAAAACGCGTTAATTTATGCGAGTTGCTACAAGTTAGGCTTGGCAAGGTTGTAACACCTTAATTAGCGTCAAGTGATGAATTTCAATGAAGAGATTACTAGGTTTTATGATAAGTTTTTGGGAGATCGGTGCGAAGAAAAAGAAAAAGAACTACAGCGCATTTCTTTTTGCAGCCATGCGAGACGAGGTTCGGTCCCTCGAAAACAAATTTTTATAAGATAGTTGTTAAAAATATTTTTTTAACACTATACAAAATATATAATATAAATTTAAATTATAAAATTAAATCAGTAAAATATTTTAACTAATTATATATTAACAATTCCAATTAACTAATAAATAACAATATAACATAATTAAAATAAAAATAAAATAAACAATATATATAAATATTCAAACATCTTAAAATACATAATTCAAATAAAAATTTATATATAATTTAAATAACTAAAAAATACAATATAATACAATTATATTTATAAAATTTCATTAAATAAAAATTAACATACCTAAAACTTTGATGATTTCAGTATCATTAAAATTTTTTTCGTCATCACTTCCATTTTCTTTACCATTCACCACTCCAAAAAAAAACTGTCCTTTTACTTTCTCTAATCAATTAATTAAATTTAATTAGAGTAAGAGAAAAGCCAATTTAGTACTGAATCATCATATTCAGCAGGCAACACTCAAATATGCATAAAATTTGATTTCATTATAATTGAATGAAAGAATGATTAAATCAAAGAATAATCTCTCTCACAGTTCCACGGTAGTCTCATGCACTAATGCGACCCCCTCTCAAATTAAAGTGGAACTAGTTGAAGTTGAAGGATCAAATATAGCTGGAAGCATGTATTTCCTTCCATTAAAACCATGAGCATTATAGTTAGCACCAGTTGCAGAGTCCATTAGCAAATCCCCAGCATAACCAGGATACACACCTTTACCATAAACCCCAGGACACTCGAACGAGAAGATTGCAACATTCACTTTCAACCCCTCAACTAGAACTCAGAAAAATCCACAGTTTCAAAATCCAAACCTCTCTCTTTCCTGATAAGTTCCAGCAATACGGAGTGATAGCATATGCTAAGTGATTGCATGATTTATTAATATGGAGTAAGTTGTAATTAGCCCCCCTAATCTTGAGAATTAAATTAACGAGTCTTGTTTCAAAAATTAATTATCTAATTTCTTAACCAGTGTTGACTGACCTTCATTTAATATTATTTTATTTCATAAAATGTCTTCTTTTCTATCTATCTTTCCATAATATCTACTCTTTTTTTTCATTTCTTTATAAAAAATAAAAAAAATGGAAAAGAACATAAAACGAACAAAGAGGGCTAAGTAATTAGTTTTTGAAACAAGAATGATTATTTAATGCATTACAGAATACTTAAAGATTGAATGGAGGGGAGGAGTTGTACTAACTAGTTATGAAACGGAGGGTCCTTTTCTTTTGATACAGAGCAGGAATGATTAAATAGGAAAATACAGATCTACCATCTACGTTCTCTATTGCGGGTGGTCAAAAACAGAAAAGAAAATCACATGAAATACCTTTTCAGAAAATCACATAAAAAGCCTCTCTCTCTCTCACTCTTTCAACCTGGCAGGGCAAGCTCAATAAACCATGGGGAAGGCTCGTCGAAGGTCCGCGGCATCACCTAGCTCAAATGAAAAGGGGTAGAGTAGTGATGAAAAGATGCGTCGATCGATCACTATGTATAATTATAATGCCAAATGATTACAGACTTTTCAAATACATTTTTTAAAAAATATATTAATTTTTTATAAATATTAAAAAAATATCAATTTAAATTTTTTTTCAATAAAATAAACTTTTAAAACATACACAGACATGGATACAATTACAAAAACAAATTTCCTTTTATCAAATCTGATTTCTAGAACACTGATGATCTTGAAAAAATGAATATAGATATGATGTATGGGTTTGTTATTTCAGCATTTATTAAAGGGATAATGGTGACAGAATATATTTTTAAGTGACGGCAACCTATACATGGTCACCTAAAAAGGTGTTTAGATCCTATGGTTCTAAACCAATCCCTTATATGATCACTTATATTTATAAATCTTGATCAAGATCATTTGAGAGACGATAGTCGATTAGGTCTCTCAGGCCACCGGATTAATTAATGCGCATTATCATCTATATATGTAACCTTATTAATTATTGAATCAACCCATAAATCCTATTAATTTATATAGTTTCAAATAGTTTGAGCAATATGTCTACAAATTGACAGTTTTACACGGAAGGAAGTTATACTATATAGTAATCAAACATTATCTTATAATACATACTAAAACTAATTTGATAACACTCACAGTAAAACCAAGAAATCAACCGATCACTAAGGGTTTTGAGTAAAATATTTCACAAAAAATATTTTTTTATTTTTCTATATTTTTTTCAAAAGATATTTTCATGTATTATTTTCCATAAAATATTTTTAAAAAATTATTCAATAAAAAATATTTTCTAATCAATCTTCAAGTTTAATTCATTTGTTTGAAAAATACTTTTTAGCTCATGAAGTTCTATGAAATATTCTACAAATAATAATTCACTTACAATATATTTTCTAATTTTTCTATATTTGTTTTCAAAAGATATATTCATGTATTATTTTCTGTAAAATTTTTAAAGAAAATTAATCAATAAAATATATTTTACAATAATCTTCAAGTTTAATTCATTTGTTTGAAAAATATTTTTTAGCTCATGAAATTCTGTAAGATATTTTATAAATAATAACTTATTAACAATATCATCCAGTTATTTTATTCATCTTCTCCCCCGCCATGTCTATTTTTATTACCACCATAATCACTTAAGGATACCCTCCTTCATTATCATCATCATCATCTAACAATCATTATTATTTTATCATTAACTTTTATTATTTCATCATTGTCATCTCTTTTATTATTATAATTAAAAAATATTTCAAGTTTAAAATATTTTATGAAAAAAAATATTCCAAGTGAAAACATTTAAAAGTATATGAAATAATATTTTATAAGAAAATGTTTTTCAAGTCAAATATTATAAAACATTTTACGCAACCTAAGTATTGCAATATCAATTCCTATGGCTTGCTTTCGTGCAACTTATTTTGGTACTCTTGCACGCTTGCTTTCATCCATGGCTTCGAGCTTGATCTTAAGCGGTGAGTGGGCCAATTCCATTGAGCCCAATATCTAGAGTTTGGGTACCCAACTTAATATAACAGCCCAAAACATTAAAGGCCGAAAAATTAAAAACTTCACATCCGGGCAACCCATAATCGCCAAGAAACCCATGTATAGAAGCCCTTATATCGACACTCTAGGGTAAGGGTTTTTCATCAGTAACCAGACCCCGTAGCAGCAGAAGCCGATCAGAAGCAAGCGAAAATGGTAACCCTCGCTAGTCGCTATGCCTAGATCCATCCTGTCCTGATGGGTTTTAAATTTGAAGCTCAAATTTTGATTTTTGATGTATGTTGGTATTTGTAGCCGTCACACAAGACATTTAGGATCAAGAAGAAACTAGCAAAGAAGATGAGGCAAAACAGGCCTATCCCTCATTGGATTCGCATGAGAACTGATAACACTATCAGGTCTTTTTCTTGTGTACGTTTTTTTTGCTTGCCTTGTAGAAAAGACAAGTTTTAAAGCTATTGAATGTGGTTTTTTTTGGTTTTTTAGGTACAACGCCAAGCGCAGGCACTGGAGAAGAACTAAGCTTGGATTCTAAGGTGTTTTAGGTGCTTGGAATATCGGGATTTGTTAATTAAATTCGGTTGTAATTCGTTGGAGATTTGATAAGAAGAGAATAGGATTTGATTTTGTTTTCTATGGAACTCATGGGAGTCCCACCTGATAAATCTTGCTATGTTTGAAGTATTGATTTGCTTAACTAATTTTCAATTTTCATTAAACTTGCAAGTATTCGAATGTTAGTGTTCTTTTATCGGCTGGGAATGCTGAATTGATTTTGTTCGTTGGTATGCATTTGAATGTATCTCTTACTGTTTTATTAGGTTTCAGGTGTTATTAATTAGGGTGGAATAGCCTTGCTGTTTCATAGATTTATTAGCTTAGGTAATGGAAGTTAAGTGTCTTTAGTTTTCTTCTAAATACCAATTATTGCCCAAGCTAGGTTTAGTGGATCGACTTGTTTAATTGCTTTGATGCATTACATTAGTTAGTCCAATAGCTGTCCTTAGGTTGATTTGCAATCCTTAGTTCAGTTGCGATTCAACTTTACATGTTCAAAGGAGGTTCTCTGTTCTTTTGTATAATGTTTACATGTCTTATTTTCATCGTGATTTTCTTTTCTAGAATCGTAGTGTTCTTTTCATTTGTTTTTTAACAAAATTTCTTGTCCGAGGGTATATTTTTTGCTTCTGACCATAGCTTGTGGTCTAGTTTCTAAATGCAGTCTGCCTTGTCATGGAGTCTTGAAGACAGTTCAAATCTTCCATAGCTTGTATTTTCATGATCATGAATTTAATTTTCTAATTGTAATTTGGCGATTGCTTATGGTGCTTGGTTTTTTACCTGTTAATAAACGTGTTGCCAATCTCCAAATTCAGTGGGTTCTTATTACATCTGCATAAGCTATCTGACCTTGCATGACCAGGTACCATATAATGAACTCGTGGTAATTTGTACTGCAATTTGATGCTGTTTTCTGAAGATTCACTTGTGCATTCAACGTTCGTTATTCCTTGGTATCGAAATCCACACCAGGGGAATCTCATTTGCAGAGGATTTCTGTGAGTCTTTCCTGGCCCTGATGAGCAATTATAATCTTTGTATTTTGCCCCCCTTCTACTGATAAGATATCAGTTAATAGTGAAGAGGGAAAACCTAACGAGTTGCCTATGGGACACATTAATAAAGAAAGTGTTAAAAAAGAATGCCAAAAGCCACTGACTAGACAACTGATCCCTTTAGTGTTCTCAGTGAGTTAAAATGGCAAACCTGTCCATCGTTGACCTATAAGATCTTCAATCAAAATTCGGTAGCATCATGAGGGGGCGTGTTCTCTTACTGGGCCGAGAAGTGAGATTCTCTTTACTCATTTAAGGCTGTTTGGAACATGAAAATTGACCATGAAAAAATTATTGCTTCAAAAAACGAATATATAGATATTAAACCCGATGTAACAAGATTTTATATAACAATTTAGATTTTTTTAGGTGAAATAGTTCTTTAATATTTTTTTCTTTAAAATAAATCGCTCATAAAATAACTAATATGACACAATTATACCATTAATTGTTTTTGCTTATCTATATACCAAAATTCAATCATAACACTCGTTAGAAGGCCAAGTTATGGTGGCCTAGAGTTACTATCTCTTTTTCTAATTTCTTAATCTTACTTTTAATTCTAATAGTTTTCTATCAGTCCAAGACTTTATTATTATAACATCTGTTCTTTAAAGATGGTTAAAAATTAAATATTATAAAAATTTTAATTCCTAAATCTTTTTCAACAACTCTAATATCAATGCAAAACCTCAATTTAAAGATATGAATAGAGAACAAGCCTGAAATTAATTATATATATAAAAAAATTAACCTCAAATCAAGCCTCCTTGATCTCCCTCTCAATGATAGTGTAGGTTTTGACTGTTTTGACAAGAATAAAGTGCAAAGTTACTTTTATTTTTATCTTTATTCTTTACATTATTATGTAATTAATAATATATCCAATAGTATCTATAATGCCATTAATTAATAAAATTTTGTCCGGGGTGTAGTTTTTCATGACTTTCCCCATAGAGGCAATGCGCGTGGAGCTTTCCAAGGAGGAGAGCACTACGCCGACCACCCAAGCACTTTAAAAACACCCCTAGAAAACATAAAAAACAACGACAACACAAAACTCTTCTCTTCCCCCGCCCCGCGCCCGCCCCCTCCGGCCTCCTTTTCTCTTTATCTTCAGCTAATTAATGATCAAAACCATGATCTGTATCTTCAAGAAACCTCTCTTTTCTATGTCTAAATTCACCATACTTTTATTTATAATCCTTGCAGCTAGTGCTACTCTTGTGAATTCAACCAAACAACCAGGATTTCGAGCCAGCAGCATGTATTTTCCACAAAGAAACCGTCCCGTTCAGCCATCAGGTCCTAATCCTTGCAGTTTCATACCGGGATCAGGCCACTGCAAACCGCCTAAGTGATGCACGCTATAGTCCATCAACACATGGTAAGGTTTTTTTTTTTTTTCAATTTCTAATAATTTTCTTCTTTCAGATCTTGCAATCTGTTGTTAGATCATATTAAATGGTTATGTTTTTACCACATTAATATTTTTCTTCATAGAGAAACTATAGACTATATAGAAAGAGAGATTTTTCTTTCATCTTATCTTCTCTCTTTAATAGAAATCAGCCACCTTCCTTCTTGCATCTTCTATCAATATAGACTATTTTTTAGTTTTGTTTTATAATTAATTTTTCTTGCACCTTCCACCTTCTATCATATCGTCCATCAACACATGGTAAGGTTTTTTTTTTTGAAAAAAAAGAGAGATATGTATGTATTTATATTTTTAAGTTTTTTTTTTAATTTCTCATATTTTTCTTCTTTCAGATTGTGCAATTTATCGTTAGATTATGTTTTTACCACATTAATATTTTTCTTTATAGAGAAACTATAGACTATGAACATAGAAAGAGAGAATTTTCTTTCATCTTATCTTCTCCCTTTAATAGAAATGACCTCCCTTCCTTCTTGCACCCTCTATCAATATAAACTATATTTGAGTTTTGTTTTATAATTAATTTTTCTTGCACCTTCTTTCTTCGAACTTCTATCATATCGTCCATCAACACATGGTAAGGTTTTTTTTCTTGAAAAAAGAGATAAATATATATATATATATATGTATATTTTTAAGTTTTTTTTTTATTTCTAATATTTTTCTTCTTTCAGATCATGCAATCTGTCATTAGATTACGTTTTACCACATTAATATTTTTCTTTATAAAGAAACTATAGACTATATATATAGAAAGAGATATTGTTCTTTCATCTTATCTTCTCTCTTTAATAGAAATCACCTCCCTTCCTTCTTGAACCCTCTATGAATATAGATTATATTTGAGTTTTGTTTTATAATTAATATTTGTTCTTATAATTTCTGACGATCTTTGTGATCTCTCTCTTTACTTAGACTGACCATGTTTTTTTTCTTTAATTTATATATAAATTTCAGGGATCATATTGATTGTGGAAGTGGAAATTATGAGCACGTAAGGGTGCTGGAGAGTGTGGCAAGGAGAGTTGATTTAATTTGTCCTTTTGTATGCAAAATAATGACCATTTCCCTAATATCTTGTTGGTTTTGAGATTAGTTTGGACGGTTATTTGAATTTTGAAATGTTGGACCCTCACTTACGTTGAAGGAATTATTAATTTTTAAATTTAAAAAAATGGCTATGATTTAATTTACCATATACTATATATTGTTTACTTGAAGCCAGAATAATTTTCTATAACTTTATTAGATGTAGTTTTCTTCACAAAGAAACTGTAGCCTATATGGAAAGAGCTGGAGATGTTTCATTGTTCTTGAAAGACATTGCACCAAGACCAGAATTAAGCCCCACCGCCCTTGAACACCATGAACAGTATTCACGAGAAGAGATATTTTGGCAACTTGTCTTTATTGCTTTAATAGGGGAAAAATGGAGGGTTGTTAAATCAAAAGTTTAATATAAATAAAATATATTTCCCATGATTTTTTTAGCATACCATAGATCTTATTAGTTATGTTATAAAATATTATTATTTAATCAATTACTGTTTGAAATTATTATTAACATGATATAATAATTAATTATCATGTTTTTATTTTTCAATGTAGCACCTAATAACATAGCAATATCTACTTTCCTAGGTATTTAATGAATCAACTAGCTGTAATCAATTAAGATTGGGAACTTGCTTAAATTAGACTCAAAATATATTATTTTAGATATTTCTAATCATTTTTTTGAATATTCCTTTCTTGGTTATTTTTTTTTATTTTAATTTGATTTGTTTAATTATTTATGTTAATTTAGTCACTATTTAAACATCTTGATAACCTATTTTGCAAAACAGTAAATAGATTTAATCTTAAAATTTAAGAAAATTACATTTTTTTATTTACCATGCACTTCATCATGTCCAACCTCGACACAAATCTAAGCTAAATGAGCTTTAAGAAATATGAAAATCATTAGAGAATATGCGATGCTCATGCCCCTATTCTTTTCTATAACCAGTTAGGATTTTTAGTTATAATAAAACTAAATAATAATTTTTTTATTTATTTTTTCATGTAGTTTGTCTCGATACTATAATATATTTAGCTATGACTTGATTTAAATGTATTTTCAAGAATGTGTAAAAAGAAATAAAAAAAATTGTTTTAAATGAGAAGATTTTGGTAGAAAAAATAGATAAAAATATTAAAAATATGGATAAACTACAGGTTATAAAGATTGTTTTTTTCTAAATACGAGGATATTATTAAGAGAATGTATAAGACTACAACGAAAGATTTTATTTTGCAAGAGAAGTTTATGGTAACTAGTATTATGAGTTAGACTCAAGAAAGGCAATAGCTTCCTACGTATTTTACTATTTTAAGCCACGCTGGGACTAGAACTAGAGTCATTCCCGTGTGAATTAAAAAGGAATAAAATTACCTTTCAATGTCGACTCTGCTTGTTGTTAGAGGATGAAGGGATCTTCGCCTTTCTCCCCCTTGTGATTAGGGCTCGCCCACCCAGTCTAGTATCAAGTGTAATAATGCCAACAACTCATTGGAGGTGCCAATTGGGCCAATCACAAGAGTCAGGGCTAAGAAGCTTAAAGAAGCATTGAATGGACTTGTTCAGAACA